CAGAGGGACCCGGCAGGTCTGAATCTGAGAATCACAGAACTTTTGAACTTGAAGAACTCAGTGGCCATGGTGCCTTTGCCAGCTTAGTCACGTACTCTCAGTTAACCTCTTTGAACCTCCCTTTTCTCCAGGTAAAATCTAAGGTCCATTTGAACAGTGTGACGATACTCTGTATCCTGTGTATTGTTGCATACATTTTTTTTTTTTTTTTGAGATGGAGTCTCGCTCTGTTGCCCAGACTGGAGTGCAGTGGCACGATCTTGGCTCACTGCAAGCTCTGCCTCCCAGGCTCACACCATTCTCCTGCCTCAGCCTCCCGAGTAGCTGGGACTACAGGCGCCCGCCACCATGCCTGGCTAATTTTTTGTATTTTTAGTAGAGATGGAGTTTCACCATGTTAGCCAGGATGGTCTCGATCTCCTGACTTCGTGATCTGCCCACCTCGGCCTCCCAAAATGCTGGGATTACAGGCGTGAGCCACCACGTCTGGCCTGTTGCATAAAATGTTAAATGGTTATTTTTATTGTTTATCTTAAGAAACTATAGACTAAGAAAGTCAAAGAGCATGTGATTTGCTCAGGATCATGCTGACACTCAGAGGCAAAGCAGAGTGGCGGGGAATGGGAATGGTTTGGAAGATTTTAGAAAGCATATCATGCATCAGACCACATTGTACATCGTGCCCCTGACCCTTCTCAATTTCTAATCTGTTCCATCTTTTTCTCAGGAGGATGCTCCTCCACAAATGACCTGCCCTGGGGTCCTTCAACCCAGCTGTCTGGAAGTTGGAAGTGGGTCACAGGTACAGGCTGGGGGCTGGGGAGCACCGGCCAAGGCACTGGACCAGGAGCCCAGATGGTCAAACATGTTCCTGTGCCTCAGTTTCCACAAGTGATGAAAATACCACCAGATCTTATAAGTCACGTGCCTCTGTCTGCTAGGGAGGAACACCCTGCAGAAAGCTGAAGAGATGCGTGGTTGCTGCCCGTGCTGCCCCACTCCTCAGGCTCCACAGACACTGTCTGCTGCCAGCGGTGCGCACACAGCCACAAACAATCCCCTGGTGGCCAGAGTGGCCTTGAGGTCCTGTCTGGCACACAGTAGGTGCTAAGCTTACTGAATGGAAATGACAGACAGATACATCTACACAGAAAATTCAGGGAGAGTGCACATAGAAGCCATTGTGCTGCTCTAGGGAGTAAATATCAGGTTTAATATGTCATGGGATGGCCCATGAAGCAAGGCAAGTGCCCCGGATGCCAGACAGAATTGTGGGGAGAGGGTACATATTGTGGCTGCCTCTCCTTCCTCTAAGAAAGCTCACAAAGTACAACCAGGCACAGTTACTCACACCTGTAATCCCAGTGACAGTAGAGGCTGAGGTGGGAGGATCAATTGAGGCCAGAAGTTTGAAGTTTGAGGCCAGCCTGGGCAACACAGCAAGATCCTGTCTCTTAAAAAATAACAGAAAATTAGCCAGATATGGTGACATGTACCTGTAGTCCCAGCTACAATGGAGGCTGGGGTGGGAGGATCACTTGAGCCCAGGAATTCAAGGCTGCAGTAAGCTGTGATTGTGCCATTGCACTGGCCTGGGTAACCCTGTCTCTTTAAAAAAAGAAAAAGAAAAAGAAAAAAGCTTGCTGGGCACGGTGTCTCACACCTGTAATCCCAGCACTTTGGGAGGCTGAGGTGGGTAAATCACTTGAGGTCAGGAGTTCAAGACCAGCCTGGCCAATATAGCAAAACCCTGTCTCTATTAAAAACACAAAAATTAGCTGGGTGTGGCAGTGCATGCCTGTAATGCCAGCTACTCGGGAGGCTGAGAATTGCTTGAACCTGGGAGGCAGAGGTTGCAGTGAGCCAAGATTGCGCCACTGCACTCCAGCCTCAGTGACAAAGACTCTACCTCAAACAAAACAAAACAAAACAAAAACAAAGAAAAAAAAAGCTCACTAAGAGTACACGTTATTCCCAGAGAGAGACTACTTGATAACTTTTCTTTTCTTGAGATGGGGTCTCATTCTGTCACCCAGGCTGGAGTGCAGTGGTCTGATGTTGGCAAAGTACAATCTCTGCCTCCCAGGCTCAAGCAATCCTCCCACCTCAGCCTCCCGAGTAGCTGGGACCACAGGTATGTGCCATCACATCCAGCTAATTTTTTGTATTTTTGGTCGAGACAGGGTTTCCCCATGTTGCCCAGGCTAGTCTTGAACTCTTGAGCTCTAGCAATCTGCCCACTTTGGCATCTCAAAGTGCTGAGATTACAGGCATGAGCCACCATTGTTTTTTTTTTTGAGACAGGGTCTTACTCTGTCACCCAGGCTGCAGTGCAGTGGCATGATGATGGCTCACTGTAGTCTCAACCTCCCCAGACTCAGATGATCCTCCCACCTCAGCCTCCTGAGTAGCTGAGACTACAGGTATGTGCCACCAGGCCCAGCTAATTTTTGTATTTTTTGTAGAGATGGGGTTTTGCCAGGTTGCCCAGGCTGGTCTAGAACACCTGGGCTCAAGTGAGTCACCTGCCTTGGCCTCCCAAAGTGCTGGGATTACAGGTGTGAGCCACCACACCCGGCGATGACTGTTTTCAGGTGCTCCCTTGCTTTGGATACAGGACTCTGGCTTCTCATTGAGCTGGGTCAGCAGGGGTTCATTTTGTGCCTTCCTCAAGGAGCCAATGAACATTCCCACATGGATCCCTGAACTAATCTCATTTCTTCTACTAAGCCAGCTGCCACTCGATGAACCACACTATTCTGGTCTGACAGGGTAAAGGTTGCCATCTGGATACGGGGCTGGATTGGTTGTTATAAGGACAGTGCTAAGAAGAATGAACCAGTTGGGACTCTCCTTGCAGCCAACTCTTGGCCCTAGAGGTAAATATTTGAAGCCTGCACCCTACCACCCAAGGCTTGTTTCCATCCTCATAGGTGATCAGAGGCAGGAATGACCATAGAAACCCAGAACCTCATTTTATTTTATTTTATTTTTCTTTTACAGATGGGGTCTCATTCTGTTGCCCAGGCTGAAGTGCAATGGCGTGATCATAGCTCATTGCAGCTTCCAAGTCCTGGGCTCAAGCGATCTGCCTGACTCAGCTTCCCAAAGTGCTAGAATTACAGGTGTGAGCCTCCATGCCGGCCGCAGAACCTCATTTTATATGTGAGTGAATTTAGACCTCAGCTAATTCACAGTAAAGACCAGACTGGGACAGCCCGATTCCCAGTTGCTTGTTCTGCCTCTGCCCAGCCTTCCTTCATCATACACACATCACTCTGCTTTCCCTTGGACACTCCCACATCATCTCTCCTCCTGCTTGGGTCAGTGGTACCCATGGTCACTACTGCCAGTGCCACTTGGGACTCTGGATCTGTCACCAAGACGCTGGTTAGCCCCAGCCTGGACTGCTTTCTGGGCAGCAGGAAGGAAGATGCCAATATGGCAAAAGGGGAAGACTTTGACAGTTATGCCTCAGAAACCAAGAAAGGTGCATCCATTGCTCCCAGGGCTTTAGAAAGTCATTTCCCACAGGGATCTCCACCTTGGGTTCCCTCCCACCAGCCCCCTTATCAATGTCACCGTCACATGTTCCCTCCAAACTCCTGAACTCCATGTGGATTTCTCGGTTTTGCTGGCTTGCACCTTTCTCAGGAGTGGGCTGGACTGGCTTGGAAAGGCTTGGTTTTCCTTTAACATTTCCAGAACCAGGCCTCTCCTTCTCGTCTGTTCAGATAAGTGAAAACAGGCAGTAGAAAGGGGGAAAAATGTCCAGACTTGCCAAAGTCCATAAAGACAGATGGTGAAGAAGAGAGGGAAAGAGCACAAGAAACCACAGGGAGGGAGCAAGCGGAGGACAATGCAGATGAGTGGGAGAGAAAGAGGGCTTGAGAGGAGCACAACAGAGAGAGGCCAGGACTGAAAACAGCAAGATGGAATGTACTAAGCAGACGGCTGGTGACAAAGGAAGCAGTGACGCCACTTTGTAGAAATCAGAACACCCTGTTCCTCTCCAAACCTGCAAAACAAGCACCTTTCCGGATGGAGCTCCCCAGGCCTCTGAAACGCCATAAATTTCACCTGGGTCATGGCCTGCCAGAGGGTTGGCTTCTCAGCCTCACCTTTTGCTGGGGCGTGCACTTCTCTGCCTTCTGCCACGCTGTGGCCAGCTCCCACAGACTCCCTCCCCTCCAGCTGGAGCAAAAGGGGTGAGGCATGTCCCTCCCAGCAGCCCTCTGGGTCTGGGTGCCCAGGCTGGAGGTTGGAGCCCCAGGGAAGCCGGGCCTGCGGGGGCGTGGGTGTGGCTACGCTCGGCTCTGTGATTGGCTGCACCAGGCTCCTTGGCCACCTCCCCCGCTTGGGAAGGAACTGAGCACGTGTTTCTAATTGTGGAAAAGCTGCTTCGTTTCCAGATCTAGGATCTAGGAGGTAAGCAGTGCCGGCTGCCAAAAGGCACTGATAGGCAAAGAAAACACGGAGGCCTGTTTGACCTCTAACGCACACAACCCAAGGCTCTGATAAGGTTCCAGTTCTGCCCACGCAGGTCACACGGAACAGTCTTTCCTCGTCAAAGACCCGGAGAGGCCTGGAGGTGTGGGGGAGTGGCGAGACTCGGATCCAGCTTCACAGAACCCTCCTAGAATCCTTCTCTATTCCCCGCTAACCCCCACCTGAGGGCCAAGACATTTTTCATAGCAGGTGAGGAGCCACATTATAAAGTCTTTCGGTACCTTGATTATTGTACATGTAATATAACTTGTCTGATGAAGTTATACATATAACTTGACTGGTGAAAGACAAAAACGTTAAAAAAAAAACCCAAAAAAACACAAAAAGCCACACAACAGCAACCAAAAAAAATCAAAGCAGCCCTTCCTCATAAACTGCGCTTTGATCCCAGCTTCTATAAAGTGCACAGTGGGGAGTGTGGTTTTGAAACAGATCTTGCCTATCGCACTATAGTAACATTTCCCCTTCTCCAGCCCTTTTCATCTCGAAGCGCTTAAAATGTTTTAGAAATCTCGGAACCCCCTCCAAAGGAGAGGAGGTGCTCTGAGCCTTCCGGAAGGGCCTCTCGCTTCCAAGGACACACCAGCAGAGGAGGAGGGTGCCGAGAAGCTGTGAGGGCTGTGAGTGCTCCTGGAGGCACACAGCTTTTACCAAACACTTCCAGCTAAGCTCCTGCCCATACTGCCCCATCCCCTCCCCTCCTCCCTTCGTGGCTCTGTCTTCCCCTTCCTTCTTACCCTATTAGCTCCTGTGCCAGCTGCTGGAGCTGGTGTTTCTGCTGACTCACCACCCAGTACTTAGCTCAGCCAAGAGGCAGGAATACCCAGCTCAGCATTTTCCAAGAGCTGAGTAGTTCTCTCTTCAGCATGAGCTAAACATGGCTCCTCAGCTGGCCTGAGCCGGGGAGAACCGAAAAACTGAAGATACCAGGAAATCCAGGGGTGGCCTGCCATGCCACCGTGGGGAACCCTATTTTAATCCTACTCATTACTTTTTCAGCCTGGACCTGAAAAATTGCTCTCACACCCCAATTCTCAAGACTGATGTCCCCCAGATGCGGAGCAAGGTAGATGAGAATGGGTTCTGTTGAGTCTGCACTGAGCCCAGGAAGGCTAGCCTGACCCTCCATCATATTTCAGTCTTGGAAGACAGGGTATGGATCCTGTGAGGTGTAGTTGGTTCTTGGACCAGAAGGCTTGTAGGCTCTGTTGGTGTTCACTAAATTCTATAAACCTGGACCCAGGCTGCAAAATTCCCCCAAAATGGTTCAGTTATAACCCAATTCCAATGGTAGCTCATACTTAAACTTGCTAAACTCTTTTTTCTTTTCTTTTTTTTTTTTTTTTTGAGATGGAGTTTCGCTCTTGTTGCCCAGGCTGGAGTGCAATGGCGCAATCTCGGCCCACCGCAACCTCTGCCTCCCGGGTTGAAGCGATTCTCCTGCCTCAGCCTCCCGAGTAGCTGGGATTACAGGCATGTGCCACCACGTCCAGCTAATTTTGTATTTTTAGTAGAGATGGGGTTTCTCCATGTTGGACAGGCTGGTCTTGAATTCCCGACCTCAGGTGATCCACCAGCCTCAGCCTCCCAAAGTACTGGGATTACAGGGGCGAGCCACTGCGCCTGGACTTTTTTCTTTTTTTAATATGGAATGCTTCGCGAATTTGCATGTCATCTGTACATGGGGCCATGCTCATCTTCTCTATGCTGCTCCAATTTTAGTAGATGTGCTGCTAAAGTGAGCACAACTTGCTGAACTCTTATAACAGAGATGCCCTTTCTTCTTTCCCCCAAAGCTCCAAGTACCACTGGGCCTCACTCCCATAAGCCTTCTGATTTTATGTTCTTAGGTATGTAATATAAATTTGGCGTGTCACATTAATCCTTAAAAGTTTACCAGACACAGGGCCTGGCGCGGTGGCTCATGCCTGTAATCCCAGCACTTTGGGAGGCCGAGGCGGGCGGATCACCTGAGGTCCGGAGTTCAAGACCAGCCTGAACAACATGGAGAAACCCTGACTCTATTAAAAATACAAAAAAATTAGCCGGGCTTGGTGGCGCATGCCTGTAATCTCAGCTCTCAGGAGGCTGAGGCAGGAGAATTGCTTGAACCCGGGAGGCAGAGGTTACGGTGAGCCAAGATGGTGTCATTGCACTCCAGCCTGGGCAACAAGAGCAAAACTCGATCTCAAAAAAAAAAGTTTACCAGACACAATTAGTGGGTGACTCCATTTAAATCATGGGCCCTGGCTCCTCTGAGAAAAACAAAGTGATCCTTGACAGTCAGCAACAAAAGGCCAGAGGAGAATTTAAGTTTCTAGGCTGGTACAAGAAAGTAGGCAAATCTTTACCACACCTGGTGGAAGCTGAACTCCAAAAGAGTTTCCTGTTTCAGGAAACCTCAGTCCCATTCACTATTCTCCCAATCAGAAGTAGACGTATTTCCAGAAACAAGCCCCTCATTCCCCACTTTCCAGGGTGTGGGCTGTGTAGGCACACACACTCTCTGAACAGCAGAACTTCGATCTGAGAGTAAAAGCTGAAGAGCAGAAGAGACACTATGGGAATCAGGAAAGAGGAGGTGATCCGGGAGAGCAGTTGAAGCACATTGAAATGAAGAAGACTGACTTCTCAGGTAGCTTACTTACTCTGCCATTATAGATATAGAGTCTAAAAGCACAGGGGATGCTTCCTCAAGTCCCAGCAACAGATCTTAAGTGTTGAAGAGTGAGTAAAAAGGGTGACAAAGACAGAGGGATCAACTTGACTAGTTTGAACCACACCAATTCAGACAATATGACAATATGTACAGACAATACGAACCAGTGTTGTCCCTGATTTACTTCACTTGTATCCCCAACAAGACCATGCAGTCCTTGACTCCTTCAACCTTAATCACCAAGGGCTACCAATTCTACCTTCTAATGCTAACCAAAAGCATCTACTTTTCTCTACTCCCACTGCCCCAAGATGCACATGACGGTCATCTCTAACCTGAATCCCTACAACTGCATTGTAATCGTCTTTTCTTGCCTCTGATTTATTCCCCTCACCAATCCATCCTTTAGCCTTGCAGCATGACTCTCCTAAGATACAAATACGATCATGTCGGTCTTCTGTTTGAAACCCTTCAAACCTCATTCCTCCTAGGGGAGAGCCCAATCTCTTTATGGCCCATGAGGCCTTTCGTGATGGGGTCCTTGCTTCTATTATACATTTCTTGCCTCCTAGTCATGGTGTGGCTATACTGAACAACCTTTAGTTCCCACAAACAGCTGTGATTTTTCCTGTCCTCAGACCTTGACATATGTTAATTCGTTCTGCTAGAACATTCTCCCCACCCCATTCTACTCCACCCTCCCTCCATGCTGAACATTTCCTGACTATTTCCAACTGGTCTTTCAGCCTCAATTTACATGTCACTTTCTCTAAGAGTTTCTTCAACCCCAGTCCCATCTTCACTTTTCTTGTAGGAGCTACCTGGATGCTGTCCTCTTAGGGAACTGGAGTTCCCTGTATACTTGTCGGGAACATCCACTGGACTGTGAGTTCCTTGGTACAAGAGCTAAGTATCCCCATGCCTGCCACAGTGCCTGGAGCAGAACAGACACTCAAATATTTAATAATGTATGACTGATTCTGTATTACCTGCGGCATCATAGAGGACACACAGGTGGGTGCAGTATAATCCGTGTTAAGAAAGAAGACTAAATCTGCTGCTGCTGCTTCATGTGAGAATGAGAGTCTTTTGGTTCATTGTTGTCTCCTCTGTGCCAAGAACAGTAACTAGCCCATCATGGGCACTTGATAAATGTTTGCTGAATGAATGAAGTGTGGCATTTATATAATATTTCCCAAGAGTCCTAATCCCTTTCTAAGTTATACTGCTCTAGAGCAGGCAGAATTTTGAGCAGGATCCTGGAAGTACTACCCTGGGGAAGATTCTAACCAGAGACCTGCTCAGCACCCCTCGGGGCTCTAGGGAGGACATGGAAGGCAAACATAGACACATTTTTTTTTTTTTTGAGACAGTCTAGCTCTGTTGCCCAGGCTGGAGTGCAGCGGCACAATCTCGGCTCACTGCAACCTCCGTCTCCTGAGTTCAAGCGATTCTTCTACCTCAGTCTCCCGAGTAGCTGGGACTACAGGTGCGCACCACTGTAAATCATACCTTATCTCTTCTTAGTGCAGGAGTTCAGTATGGTGATTAGCTGATGGAATTTTTTTCTTCGTTTTCTTTTTTTTTTTTTTTTTGAGACGAAGTCTTGCTCTGTCCTCCAGGCTGGAGTGCAGTGGCGCGATCTCGGCTCACTGCAGCCTCCGCTCCCAGGTTCACGCCATTCTCCTGCCTCAGTCTCCCGAGTAGCTGGGACTACAGGCGCCTGCCACCACGCCTGGCTAATTTTTTTTGCATTTTTAGTAGAGACGGAGTTTCACTGTGTTAGCCAGGATGGGCTCAATCTCCTGACCTCGTGATCCGCCCGCCTCGGCCTCCCAAAGTGCTGGGATTACAGGCGTGAGCTACCGTGCCCGGTCCTGCTGATGGATTTTTTTAGTTTCTTTCTCTTTTCCAAAAAAAAAAAAAAACCACACACACACAAATCTGCTTACAGAATAATTTTCATCTTAATGCATCATAAAAATGAAAAATGAGATGTTAGTCAAACTGGCCATTGAGTAAAAATCAAGAGATTTTCAATACATTTAGATTTTAAATGCTGGCTAGGTAGAAGGTGTACAGAGAACAATGGAGTCTTGGATGTATAGGAATCAAATGTAGGCCAGTCTGTATTTGTCTGAATTCATATAAACAAGGCTGATCGGATACCCGAAGAACTCTCTGGGGACTAGGGAAGGGCAAGAAGGCAGTGCTGCCCAGGTATCTGAAGGAATATGTTTAGTGTCTGGGGATGAGAAGTTTGGGGGTAGAGAATATGAAGGCTCAAGGGAAAATAAACTGAGGTTAAGGGATTTAGATGATAGGAAAGACTGTTGAATGCTCTGATGTGAAGGGATTGATTAAATTTGTAAGAGACTTGCAAAACAACCCACGAGTTTCTCTGTGACAGCATTCTGCACCAGGCAGTTGGAGGCTTTCTGCAGAGGAATTGCAAAGCAACTCAGGAGTTTGAAGCAACACGTGAAGTCCTTTCCTTTCCAAATAGCTCAAGGAAGAAGAGAAATCTGAAGCCCTGGAAAAAGCTAGTCTCTTAGGAATCTCAGTAGCAAGATAGAAAACAAGATTAGACGCATTTTTTCCTTGAGAAATGCATACAGGATATTTCTTTCTCCTGAGGGTGAGGAAGGAGAAGGAGCTTCTTTAGGTCAAGACATTCAGGGAGAAGTGAGGAAGTTGAATAAAAAGAATTGATTCCACTCAGGTGCTGGACATGACTCCAACCCCAAATGAGAGGAAGGAGGCCAGGAGCTGACTGAATGAAAGGTGACCCAGTCTCCAAGAGAATGGGGGACAAATATATCCCAAAGGAAAACTCAGAGTTGCACAGATGCACATATGGAAGCCTGGGAAAGGGTGTCCCCTGGACCCAGTGCTTCCTCTGGATCACTGTGGACACTTTGTTTACAACTAGAGACCCAGGTAACAGCCAAAAGATGTGGCTACAGGATAAAAGGGCAAGCTGTAGGCTGGGTGCAGTGGCTCACACCTATAATCCCAGCACTTTGGGAGGCCAAGGTGGGCGGATCACGAGGTCAGGAGATCGAGACCATCCTGGCGAACACGGTGAAACCCCATCTCTACTGAAAATACAAAAAATTAGCCAGGCATGGTGGCGGGTGCCTGTAGTCCCAGCTATTCGGGAGGCTGAGGCAGGAGAATGGCGTGAACCCGGGAGGCGGAGCTTGCAGTGAGCTGACATCGCACCACTGCACTTCAGCCTGGGCGACAGAGGGAGACTCTGTCTCAAAAAAAAAAAAAAAAAAAAAAAAAAAAGGGCAAGCTGTAGGAATAACCTGTCAATACATATGTCTATGCAGCCAGATCTGTACAGTAACAGATGCACTTTATTTAGAACTATCCACTATGATGGCAGCTACTGGCCAGGGGCTGATAATAAGGGCAGCTATCGCTGCTGACTCTTTTTATATCTTACTTGGATCTTTTATATGGGGAATATAGTCATTTACTTATGAAATAATACAAAAGGAAAAAAACACACAAGCAAATCACAAAAGGTATCAAAACCAAGTTCTAACACTTCCCAGTCCCCTCCTAACTCCCTCCCCTCCCACTAATAGACTTGTTCTGGAGAAGGGAGAAAGGCTTTTTATTTAATTAAAAT